CAGTTGTTCGCAGTGGTGCACATGCAAATAAAACCTTAAGGAATTTATTTATTTTTGAAAATCTTAAAATATAAATAAATAATAAAACTCTAACTCTAATTAACTTAGATCTGGTTATTTAACTTTTAGATATACTAATGCGTACAATCTCAGACTCAATAATCGTAATCTTGTAAATGTCCCTAGATTCAGAAGATATCATTATTGTGGTTGTAATAATATAATTGCTCCAGTTATGATTTTATGTGTGTATCTTAATATGGTCAATCATCATTACATATTTCATTCGCTTTAATTTAATCTTTCTTTTTGTTCACTTTCATGTATTTTACTCAAGAGTTTTTCTCAAGAACTTTAAATTCATTATTGTTATTATTATTGGCATAAATTTACATAGATATAAGATTTTTATAATAAATTTACATATATATTTTTATAATAATTTTTTTTTCATCAAAGGACGGGGAAAGGCATGAATGCTACTAACGTGCCATTCCCTGGCAACCTATAGTTAGTTATGTGTTTTACCACAAAAACCTCCTCCTTATATTCTGATACTAGTCCCCTTAGACCAACCATCAAATTTTCTTTAATATAGATTGAAAGAGATTCAAAGCTTCCCGATTTGGTGAAATGCGTCTCTGTTACTAAACATGTATCAATATTTTAGGTCCTTAGAAATATTTCTGACATACGTTTTTTATTAAAAACGCCATTTGCGTTCCACGTCGAAATCCTTATTTTATCTTCGTCCATTATTTTTTATTCTTTTTGACGTACAAACATAATCATTATCGTGCTTGTCTTCTAATCTATTCAATCTCAATGAGATTTCGTTCATAGTTTTTATATTTTATCATATTTTACATCATTTGCATTATATTAGTGGTAGGTCTCTTAGTTCTTTGTTTTGGTTATATGTTTCACCCCTCGCCACTTGGGCATATTGTATTCCCTGCACTCTTTTACTCAGTGTAGCTCTTTTTGAGATTTTTGGAGTTTTCTGTTTTGTAATGTTATTTTTTCTTTTTTGTAATTTCCTTTGAAGACTATACAACCCCTGTTATTCGCAGGATTTGCCAGTGAGCAATTTGCACACTTTGGAGCATCGATTTTTTGCTTACTACAACTTATCGTTAAATGAGGACCAGCACACTTGACACATTGAGCCAGACGCTGGTAAAATCTGTGACATATCTCTGACACCTTCTGCACTGAGGAACTAAATTGTCTCTCCTTAGTGACTCAATTTTAATCCTCATGTGCTGAAGTACATCAATTTTGTAAATTTTATTTATGTCCTCCGAATTTTTAAAGATTAACATGAAGAAGGGAAGTCGGACCATAGTGATCTTGTTTTCTTCATTCTGCTTTCCAATTTTATTAATGACTCCAATAACTTTAAAGCCCCTCTCTTTTAGCTCATTTTTAATACCTTCAGGTTGGTTCGAAGGATGCAAGCCTCTAGCCATCTCCTTGATGGGTCTTGTCATTTTATTTTCGTAGAATGTTCGAATGTTTTTACCTAAATGTTATGAAATGAAAAATAAATTTTTTTGTTATAAAAGTAAAAATAACAAAATTTTTGCCTAACTTAATTTTAGTTCAGTTCGATGTTTTCGATATACTCGTTTGTTTGCAATATTTTGCTTCTCTCTTGCCTACACAACTCTCATTACCATCTATTTCTTAATAAAAGTGAAATATTTTGAGCATCACTACTTCTCAAAATACTTCTTAGATAGATATACTTTGATAAAAAGTATGCACTGTGGGAGACATATATGTATATAATTTATTTTTAATTTTGTTAATATCAAATGTACAAATTTGAAAAAATACACAAAAATCAACTTAATGATTCGAAAAAGTAGCAAATTTTTTTTTTCTTGTAGTTTAGCATTTACGTATTGAAACTTTAAAAAAATTAACTGAGCCTGGAAGGGTTTTTTTAAATCAATTTTTTAATGTTTTAGTCAAAGTATATCTACTAATAAGTAGTTCGACTCGTTCCATTCCGTTATTTTTCATTTGCATCTTGCTTCCAAATTCTTAAAATATTCCATTTTTATTTAGAAATAGATGGTAATAAGAGTTGTGTAAGCAAGAAAGAAACAAAATATTGCAAACAAACGAGTGTAACAAAAACATTGAACTGAAATAAAATTAAATTAAGTTAGGTAAAAGTTTTGTTATTTTTATTTTGATAATAACAAAATTTATTTTTCATTTTATTAAAGTTAGGTAAAAAATTCGAATGTTAAAGAGAAGAAATTTATGAAAAGAGTCTGAAATTTCATGTATGAATGTACACATGCATATACTTGTTACAGTAGATACACAGTATCAGGTAGTGACATAGAAATACTGATTAATACTTTATGAAATATAATTATTACCGATTCATGGGAAATATGTTTTAAATTTATTAAGATTGAAATAAAAATAAAAAATTTAAAGTTAATTTATTTATTTTATTTATTAATAATTATTAATTACAAATGCTTAACACTAAAATTTTTTTGTTTTATATCAAATTATTTTATAGTTTTATCAAAACTTTTTATTATGTAGTAAATTCTAATTCTAATATACAGTTTAATAGTATGTTTTGTCGGACTTCTCACAACATTCATAGTTGAAATTATTTTTTAAGTGTTCATATATTTCACATTCTAAATTTTTTTCTGTATAAATATCATAAAAAGTTTTATAAAAGTATGTATTTTCTAAATTCTTTAAATTATCCACGAAAATTGAAGGAATGCATTTCAATTACAAATTGAAAAAACTGTGTTTTAAAATATTTTCAAAAGTACATATTTACCTCTACACATCTTTTGGCAACAAATGAAATTTTCGTGTCGGCTTTTTCTCCTCTCTCACAAAATTACATCCCAAACACTTCAAATAATGTTTACCCATTATTATAAAAAAAATATTTTTTTTCACAACTATTTAAAAAATCTATTGCGTACTCTTTCCTTCTCCCAAAAATTCTTATGTGTATAAAAATGAGAATATGAAGATATATTGCTTAACTCTTTTAGCTAAGGGAATTTTTTGTATACAAATATTGGTGAGTGATGGCATTAGTGTGATGTAAACGGAGAGTCGTACTACTTATTAGTATATATACTTTGGTTTTAGTAAGCAATATGTAAGAAGTAGAAAAGATTAAGTTTTAATTTTTTCTAATTAAAAATTTGAAAAAGGTTGATCTTGTGGTTTGTGTGATTTATGATGTTTAAAAGGGCCCTCTACACCTTCCTTCCTTTAGCTGACTCTCTCTATTTCTACACAATTCAACGATTCACATTATTAGTTGAATTAATGTCTTTATATCTAACAAGTCCCAATACTCAATTTTTTTTACGAAATATTACGAATTTTTGGCTTCGTTGCTGGTTTTTTCTTTGAATGCCACTGATCGTGTCATATTTTTTATTATTTTTTTCTTTTTTTTTACGTAAAGAAGTAATACATACGCAATATATTTTTGATAGTTGTATAAAAACTTTTTCTATTTTGAATTTTCAGTAGTGTTCATGAACAAAAAATGTCGTTAGCAAAATAAAAATTATTCATTTCGGCCAAATAGTGGAAAATTCTATTTCAGGAAAATTAAAAATGAAGAAAAACAAAAAAAGAAAACTGAAACCTAAAGAAATTTTCTTATATTTAACAATTAAAACAAAATTTAACAATATAGCAATTAAAAATTTTAAACCAAACTGCAAAGCTAGTAAAAAAAAAACTACAGCTGATTTAACTGCACTAGTCATGATAATTTAAATATTTTTGTGATAGATTAAAAATGTTTATGAACAAGCTTGATTAGCAACATTTATTTATGAACACAAATTTAGCACAGTTCTCGCTATATATCGCGATATACTGTGTTTATGAAAAGGCCTTTATGTTTATTATACAGTTTATAGATTATGTAGCTTGAAGCTGGTAAGTTCAAAATTGCAATTAAACTGTATTACTACGCAATTCAGTTATTATATACTACACAGTTCAATTATAACTTACAAGCTGAGTCGGGCATTAATATCGTACATTGTTGCGATTTCCAAGTAGATAAGTAATAATTTCGAGATACCTAAATCCGGCGAAATAATTATAATATTCCAAATAAATAATTTTAATCGTACTAAATTTATACAAAAATTAAATTTCTAAATTTATCGTTTGTTGAAATATTTGAATGATATTTTCCCTACGAATAAGGGATATACGAATATTTTTTTTTGAATCATACGATGTTTTTTTTTTTGATTATTTTTGCCTATCCTATACATTCTATAATTGATCTCTGTCAGCATTATTTTATTTTGGCTTTATGCATTAACTTATTTTTTTTTTGTATTATCATTGACCTCGTCGTCCATTTTTTAAATATTAATATTCAATTGATATTCTCTTACTTAGTTTTTTTTTATTTGGATTTTTTTTTTGTGTTAACTTTGGAGTAAAATATAAGAATTTTTGTGCACAAGTGTATTAATTGATATGATTTCTTTTAAAATAAATTTTATCACTATTTTAAAGTATAAAAACTGAAAGAAAGGATGATTAAATTGAAAAAAGCGGATATCATTCTTATTTTAATAAGCAATTATAACTCACATGAATGAATGTTCGAAGGTCATTGAAAAATTTACCGTTTTGTTTATAACGCTTTAATTTTGTACTAATAGGAAATAATTTTTTTAAATTTTGTATTTACCAAAATGGAAACTGTTTTGTAATGAACTTTTTTCAGCGGTTAAAATTATATTGAAGAATAAGCTGAATGTATATAACATCTGCATTTTGGTAGAACAGATGGAGTATTGCTAACATTAAGGTACCAAACTTCAGGGAAATTGTATTAATAAATATTTCAGTAATTCTAAAAATATTCTAAAAATATTTCTAAATACATCTAAAAATATTTATTTAAAATTTTTTCACTAATTTTATTTGATTTTTGTTTTTTTTTTATTTTATAGGTTTAGGAAAATTAATCATTAATGATCTTGAACCAGCTTTACAATTTTGTACCCATTTAGTATATGGATGGGTTGGAATTAATGCTGAAACAAATAAATTAGAATCATTAAATCCTAATTTAGATTTAGATCAAGGTAAAGGACATTTTCGTGTTATAACGTCATTGAAACGTAAATATCCAGCTGTTAAATTTTTATTGAGTGTCGGCGGTTTTCAGGATCCTACTGAAGAAGATACAAACAAATATTTAACATTATTAGAGAGTAGTGCTGCTAGAATATCATTTATAAATAGCGCACACACATTGGTAAAAACATATGATTTTGATGGTTTAGATTTATCATGGCAATTTCCACCAAATAAACCAAAAAAAAAGCACTCATCAATTGGTAAACTATGGAAAGGTTTTAAGAAAATTTTTACTGGTGATGCAATATTAGATGAAAAAGCTGAAGAACATAAAGAAGAATTCGTTGCATTAGTAAGAGAATTAAAAAATGCATTCCGTCATGAAGGTTACATTTTATCGTTAACTGTTTTACCAAATGTTAATTCATCGTGTAAGTTGTTTTCTTTTTCTCTCCTAATTAGTTTTAATATCTTATCTCGCACAAACTCTATAATATCTTCTTTATGCTTTGTTTAATATTTTGTTTATTCACAAAACCGAAATTGAATTCCAACTTCAACTCCAGAATAAAAGAGATAATTTTAATTACTATGACTTTAAATTACAATATCACTCATTTGAAGCGCCCTTTGGTATTGATGCTGTTATTTTTGAACTGCGTGTCAATACATATATATGTATGTATACTATTACTGCAATTTCCAAATAACGGGTTTGATCTAGAAATTGTAATTATAATTTATAAAATAACTGGATTACTAATATTGTTTAACAAGTCGGCAACCAAACTCCTAAACAACGTTAATTTCAAAACTGAAAGAATGTTAACAAGAAAAATTAAACAGTTTTTTTTCTTTCTTTTCCAGTATTTTATGATGTACCAGCTCTGATAAATAATATTGATTTTGTAAATTTAGCTGCATTTGATTTTCATACACCATTACGTTATCCAAAGGAAGCTGATTATCCAGCACCATTATATGAATTAAATGATCGTCATCCAGAACATAATGTTAATTTTCAAGTACAATATTGGTTAGGTTTACATTGTCCTGCAACTAAAATAAACGTTGGTGTACCAACATATGGACGTGTCTGGCAAATGACAAGTGATTCTGGTTTAACTGGTCATCCACCGGTAGCAGATACAGAACATGAGGCACCACCTGGTTTACAGTCACATACGTCTGGTTTATATAGTTGGCCAGAAGTATGCTCAAAATTACCAAATCCATCTAATGCACATTTAAAAGGTGAAGATGCACCAGTACGTAAAGTTGGTGATCCAACAAAACGTTTTGGTAGCTATGCATATCGTGTAGCTGATGATGATGGTAAATATGGTTTATGGATTGGTTATGAAGACCCAGATACAGCTGGCAATAAAGCTGGTTATGTACGTGCAAAAGGTTTAGGTGGTTTAGCATTATTCGATTTATCATATGATGATTTTCGTGGAAGTTGTAGTGGTGACAAATTTCCAATATTGAGAGCAGCAAAATTTAGATTGTAAAAAACAAAATATAGATGATAGAAGTAATTCGATATTTTCAGAAAAAAAAATTAAATAAAAAACTTTTTTTTTCTTTATATTGAAATTTTAATGAAAAGTTAAATGTTATTTCGTAAAAAAAAATAAAGTATTCGAAAAATATTTTTTAATTCATGCAAATATTTTGATTTCGAATTTTGAGTTAAATATTTTGAATTGAATTAAAAAAGTTTTTGTTATTGTTCTTTAGGTTCATATTGCACTTGTGCTCTATTAAGAATATACGAAATCAAAATCTTTTTAACTAAATTAAGAAAAATTAACAAAAGTAAAATATAAAATAAAAGTAACTGGGATCACATTTGGAATTCATTCAGCACCTATAAATTCATTAGTATACTGGTAGTAAATATTTTGATTTCGAATATTTTTCACAAATTGAATTAAAAAAGTTTGTGTTATTGTTCTTTAGGTTCATATTGCACTTGTGCTCTATTAAGATTATACGAAATCAAAATCTTTTTAATTAAATTATAAAAAATTAACAAAAGTAAAATATAAAATAAAAATAGCTGGGATCACATCTAGAATTCATTCAGCACCTATAAATTCATTTGTATACTGGTAGTAAATTATTCGATTGTATATTATTCTTATTTAACTGTGATTCAAAATGGCTTTTTGAAAAAGCTTTAATGCGGCATTTTAATATTGCAAAAATCATTTTTGATTTTCATCTATTCATTACGACCAAAGTTGCAAAAATAGGGTTGCTCTGGTGACGGCACAAAAGTAGAGCTCGAAAAACGCTGGTTTACAAACTCATACATAATAGCTAAATAATATTATTTTTTGTTAATAAGTTATTTTTGATTTTTCTTATCTTTAATGTGTCTTACCGCCTGGCACTACAACGATAAATCGATTCGCATTTCTCCTATATCTCCACCAATCCTGCTCTTCTCTTTCCCTCTCCTGCTCTTCTCTTCCCCACTCCTGCTCCTCTCTTCCCCTCTCCTGTTCTTCTCTTCCCCACTCCTGCTCTTCTCTTCCCCTCTCCTGCTCTTCTCTTCCCCTCTCCTGCTCTTCTCTTCCCCTCTCCTGCTCTTCTCTTCCCCTCTCCTGCTCTTCTCTTCCCCACTCCTGCTCTTCTCTTCCCCTCTCCTGCTCTTCTCTTCCCTCCTCCTGCTCTTCTCTTCCCCTCTCCTGCTCTTCTCTTTCATACCATTGTCTATCGTAGTGTGATTGTTCATGTTCTTCGTTGCGATTAGAACTTGCTTGGGATTCGTCCTCGTGAATATTACTTATTCTATGTTCTTTTACCACTAACAAATGCAAGGAAAAAAAATAAAATATTAACATTTATAAAAGGTTTTTTATAATTTCAAAACTACTTTTTTCAATTGATTTTACAACTGTTTTGCAATGATAAAAAAGTTTTTCAAAGACTACTTTAAGAAATCTTTACTCAAGATTTAAAAGCAATGAAGAAAAATTTCATTGAAAACTTACATGTTTTTTTGGTTACTGGTTTTTTATTTTTCCTTTTTGTAGTTCTACGCATCTTCTTACGAGGTAACTGATTCTGAGATGCAGATTTTTCTAATCTTCTCTCTTTGTAAAAAAAATTAAAATAAAAAATAAATATCGATAAAGAAAAATTGCAGTTATAAATTTACTAGTTTTTTTAGTTTGTTCTTCTTGACCTTTCCTATTTGTGTTTCCACGCGCATTTTGATTCTGATCATAGCTTTTTTCAGATTCTTGGTATCTTTTCTCTTTTTAAAAAAATTTACATAAAAATTAAAAAATCGATAAAAAAAAATTACATTAACAAATTTAATGCTTTTACAATGGTGTCCCTAAAAAATACAAAAATTAAATTTATTAAATTTATTACCTGCCGTTGATTGTACTATTTTTTGCATCATTCTAGATGGTCCTGAATGAACCTGCTTTGCAGGAGTAGAAGGTCTGTTTAAACTTTTCTTAAATCTTGGACGGACAGTCTCCTCAACTTCTTCGTCACTGCTTATTACTATTACTTCAATTCCTTTTTCCGGATAAAGAAATAATGATAATCGAGAAAAAAAAATTAATCAAAAAATATTCGCCCATTCAGGAATTGGATTTTAAAGAAATCGATTGAATTCTATATGAAATTTCGATTTGCATTAAAATCGTCCTTAGTTATAAATTAATAAAAAGCAAAAATAAAAAAAGTAAAATTAAATTTATAAATCGTAAAGCTCATATTATATCTAATTTAACACTTAAATTTGACTTTAAAATTGCAGTAATATGGTATTGATGCAGAACATAAATTAATATAATTGTTATAGTATGTAGCAAAAACAGTATTTCTGCAATTTTGAGGTCAATTGTAAACATTAAAAACAAAATTACATGTAACAAAAAACAAAAATTTAAGAAAAAGAAGAGGAAAACATACCACAAAATTATAAAACTTAAAAAACCACCATAAACCCAATACTGTACATAATAGGAAAAAATTTTGCAAATGACTTGATGAGTTTGAAAGAAAATAATTGGATATAAGCGAGTGCATAGATAATGTTCAATAACAGCCTTATATTTACAAATTGATAAATTTTTTTTAATATTCAAATTACAACAAAAAATTTTTTTATTTTTTTTTTTTAATGCAATATTAAACGATGGTAACACTAAATAACGGTACCTCAGGAAGGAATGTAGCTAGGTCATCAATGATAAGGAAATGCCTGGATATTTCTTTATCATTAATAACCTAATAGGACTTAGACCTGCAATTAATCAGATCGAGATATCTTTCTTTTCAAAAGATGTAAGGTATATTATCATGATTCTAGATAAACCGTTCCGAATTCTTTTGTCCTGTAAAGGAATTGTCCTGTAACCCATTTCACTAATGAATATGAACCTGTAGGAAAGGGTTTTTTCGCAGAGGTGAGAATAATTTTAAAATCAAACAAAAACTACAAAGTTGTAAAAATAATTAGTACACAATTCAGGTACAAAATTTTACAAAATGATTTGTGTATAAATGTTGTACTAATACATTTTTTGAGTCAGCGGTGCTCGAAGTGAGGCGGGATGGAGTGGCATGCCATCCCAGTACTTTTAAATAATTGGAAATCCATCCTACTACTTAATAGGAGAGAAAAATGCGTTCCGGAACATGTTTTTTAAAATTTAAGAAAATTTTCCAATGAATTTTAAAAATTTTTTTAACAAAAAATTAAATATATGTAATTTTAAATAAGACCAATTTCAAATAGTAACGTATAATTTTTTTCTATTAATAAAATTTTCGTTACTACATAGTAGTCTATGCATTTCTTTGGTAACAATTTGCACAGTTTTTGATTCAATTTTTAGTTGATTTAATTTTGAATATAAATATTCTCATTAGTTTACTTCCAAAGTTTGGTGAATTTTGTTTAGTTATTTGTTTAAAAAATAACTAAAATAGTACTTTTTTTTTCTTTTATTTTTTTTTTACCATCCCACCTCTTTGAGTATCCCACTTCGACCACTGAGTCAGAGTTTATATTGATTTTATTGATTTAAACGTTAATAATGTAACTCAAAGCAGTCACATTGACCGAAGCATGTTTATTCAAAGTTTTTTTTTCGTTTTTTTAACAAAATACAAAGTATTTTAAGTGGAACACGAAGTATTCAAAGCGGAAAACATAAGTATTGAAATTGGAATACAAAGCATTTTATTTGTGAAAGAAAACAAAAATTAATGAAAACTTCAGGTATAGCAATGGTGTTTTTAACACAAGGTTTTAATGGAACCGAAAATAAATCGAATAAGAAAAACATGAACAAATTAAGTGTCTAAAGTATGCTTAATAAAAAAAAGTTAGGTATATTAAGTCCGTTTTTAGCAAATACTCTTATATGTATATACTGGACAGAAATGATTACAGACCAAACTTAATGGCCAAAAATTAGTTTTCGATTCGATTCGAGATCTTCAATTGTAGTTTAGTTGAACGAAGTAGGAAATGCAATTTCAAAATATCACAATTTCAATTCTAACCCAATCAAACACCAAAAAGAAAAACTATACGGCTTAAAACACCAAAATGATATATGATGTCATAAGCAGTATGCGCATTTAGTCAGTGCATCAAGTCCGTTAATATAGAATTAATTGCAGCGGCGAATATCAACAATTTTCTGTCAGGGAAGTAATGTTAACGTGCTTTGCTATAAAATTCTCTTTTTTGTCAAAATGTTTTTTGTGAACTTTGGAAAATGTGGGAAAAGGTGTAAAAAACTCCATTTCTGAAAAACTTCAATAGCATTAAAAACCTTTAATTTGGAGATATTATTGTATGCAAAATTTTAAAATTTTAAAAATCTTATTTCTAAGTTTTATACAAAAAATATGACCAATTTGAAGACAGATCTTCAAATTTCAAAAACCTTCATTTTGAAGATAGATCTTCACTTTTGACACCGAAACCTTTCCAACAAGTTCTTCTCTCAGCTTTTCTTCTCTCTATGAAGTTTTAGAGAGAGAGAGAGTTACGAACTAATATAGAAATTAAAAAAAAAATAATTAAAAATCATTTCATAAGCAAAATGTAAATACCGCCTATATTTTAAGTGGAGCAGGAAATTGATCAATATTTTAAAAAAAAATTATGATAAACTAAAAACAAAGTGGAGACAATAAAAATTCCAATAAATGCAACCAACCATATACAGATATTAAATTTAACAAATTAATAAAAAGAAAATACATATAACACTTAAAAAAAAAACCGCGGCTGTAAAAACAAATACGCACCACCACTAAAAATTATTTAAATTAAAAAATTGGCATGCTTGAAAATGTATATTACTATATTATTAATTTAATTTATTCAGCAAATGAATTAAAATTGCTAAATAAAGTAAAATAACAAATATTTAATTATCGCAAAATGTTAAATGAAAATTATATATTCCTTGACGTCCAAAATGCTTTAATAGGATATTAATATACTGTTCAACAGTTGAAACTTATAAGCTGAACTGTGTATTAATACCGTATTATACTGCATTTTAGAAGTCAAGGATTGTATGTTAAAATGTTAATTAGTGTTTTTATGTAAATGTGCACTTGCATTATTGAAAATTATGTTAATTCAATTTTTAATATACTATACCAT